GAGACGGGTGGAAAAAAATCTTGTGTCCTCCAAGCTCGGGAGAGCTTTGCTGCAACAGGAGCTGCTACCTGCCTGGGAAATCATTTAGAGACATCTCGGTGCCGTATGACACATCTCATTACGCCTTGCTTTAAAACAAGCAATTGTCATTAGTTAGTTATTAATTGCTTATTGAGGTCGTTATGGATGTCCTCTTCGTTTCCAGGCTGCTTTCTTTGCATCTTTGGCTGCTGCAGGTTTGTGCAGAGGGGAAGTTGGTCCTGAACCTGGCATGCTGGAGGGGAAAGGGGTGACAGTGCAAAGCTGGGGGGCAGAATCAGCAGCTGTAGGTGTAAGGGGTTTGTACAGAAGCCTACGTGACCGAGCAGTGGAGCTGAAAGCAGGTTCCAAGGCCCTCTCTGCCCTTCTTTGCACCCATGGACTCCTTCAATAAGGCTCCTGAGCTGCGCTGATAACCATGGAAGGATGAAGCCCTCTCTTAATTATGGTTGCATTAGAGCAGCACAAACTGATTTAGAAGCCCATTATAATACACCTGTAATTGCAGATGCAGATCTTTCAATGTGCTCTCCTTCAAAAGGCAGAAAGGTTTGGAACACAAAGAGGGAGAAGGCACAGTGGAGGTGCCTGGCACCGTGGCAGCCAGAGCACAGTACCTTATCCTGGCCCGGCAGCTGCTGCCAGAGGAGAAGAAACTGCTCTGGTTACAGCCTGGAGAGGCTGGACAGAGAGCCCAACGTTGGGGTCCCTGCCTTGTGGCCAGTCCTGGGTGGTTTTGATGGACCCCTTATTCTGGTCTGGGGAGCTTGGGCTCGGTCCAACTCAGCATCACCACGGGCAGGGCTGGGGCGTGCAGGGCTCCCTCTCACTGAGTCCCAGAGGCAGTACCCATGGGAGCAGCACTCTGTAAAACACGGGGAAGTCTGTGGGTGACAGCAGCAAGAGGCTGTTATTAAAAGCAGGAGCAGCAGCAGCCTGATGTTCAGGAAGCTGCCAGTGCACATCACAGATCGCCTGCAGAACGCGAGCCTGAATCTCCCTCTTTTTCTTTCTTTGAGACACTTTTATGGTTGTTCTTTGTTGTTTCCTTTGATCTGGAGCAGATGTTGTTCATGCTGGAAGATGGAGGTTTGCATGTTTTATGTGCAGGGGAAGCAAGGCGCTGCCAGGCTTACCGGGAGAGCCCGCTGGCTCACAGGCTGCTGCTGGGGCAAGCACCTGCTCTGCCCGAGAAGAGATTTGCAGGTCTGGAAAGGTCTCGTATGTATCTCTGTGCTCCTTGTTTGGCTCCCAAAACTGTGTAGAAACGGAGTGCTTAAGGCAAAATAATGCAATTACTCCTTGAAGGCACCCAGCTTGATGAGGCGTATCTGAGGTCTCCTTCCCCATCACTCATAGAGAGATTGCTCCACATTCACACTCCCCTAATACTCTAGGGACTCTTGCTTGATGCGTGGCTGAAATTTGGGGTGCCGGGGAAGCCTGGCTGTGCCGAGGGGTGCATCAGGAGACAATGGCCAGGACGCAGCACTGGGGAGGGGGAAGCACAGGTCAGCAGAAGGACAACATGGTCATCACACATGAGGAAGATGGATGGGGCAGTAACGATGATGGGAAATGGCAGGGCCGAGGGGTGTGTGCGTGGGGTGTGTGAGCTTCTGCATCTGGACTGGCTCTGGGCTGGGTGTTTGGAGGTGACAGGGTAGCAGGGAGATAGTCTGTGCCAGCAGCAGGAGGGTGTCTGTGCGCCAGGGAATGTATCTGTGTAGGCAAGCGCATATGCTTGGATCCGTAAAGACATATATCACCTGACTGAACACCCTCGAACGTGTAACGTGCCATATGGCTTGGTTAAATATTTAAGCAAGCTGCTTTCTGTCCCGGGGACTCCACGTGTGCGAGCGGGTGCCAAGTCCGGGCAAACCGGGGGCACAACCCGGGCACCTGCGGCGGCCGGGAGCAGCCCAGAGACCTTCCCCGTCAGCGTGGCAAGGATAGGGGAAAAACAGAAGTCGTCAGATCAATAAAACACCAGCCTGCCTCTGGGGAAATCTGCGCCGTGTCACTGGAGCAGCTTGGCCAACACTGCCATGTTTAATCACTCCTGAGCAAGAGAGATGCCGAACACAAAAGGACTGCCCGCAAGGAGAGGGTTCCCGCCTGGGAAGCTTGCATTTATTTAGCTTTATTTATTTATTCATTCCCATAGGGGCACAGCTCCATCTGTGTCCCGCGTTGAGCATAAGAAATTTCTCCTCTGCCCCGTTGCCACAGCAATGCCAACAGACAGTGAAGGTGTTTTAGTGCAGAGGGATCCGGAGCACCGGTGACCATTAAATAATGTTAAATATATACTTGCGATCACTTGTGTTTCAAGGTTTCCCTCCCTAGTGCGGTAAAAGCCTTACGAAATATCTGCTCAGTCTCCAGAAAGGCATTTTACATAGTTCATGTGGTTAATTATTCAAACGTTTAATTAGCATACAATAACTGTCGTGTTAAATCCTAGCACTGCACGTTTAATTGAGGGGTTAGCTAACGACTTCGGTGACGTCGCTCTGGTTTACTTCCCAGCAACCTCGTCCCAGGTGGGCTGCAGTAAATTGCCTCTCCCTGAACGTGTCCCGAGCTCACCAGGGCACAGTGGGATTTTTCTTGGATGTGTGAGTTGCTTGAGAGAGTTGCCAAGTCTCCCCTTACTTAGCCAAGCTGCAGTGCAATCATCTCTCCTCCTCTGCCTGGTCTGGGCAAAATTGAAATCCCCTTCTGTATTGCTGAGGGGGAGGATGTAATGCTCGTGTTTCGGGAAATCCAAGTTTAATTTGTTTTAATTATGTTTTAGAATGTGGTCTGTTGGTTCGATTACAGAGTTTTGCCTGGGTGGGTGCAGATCCGTGTGTGCGGTACCGCAGCTGCGGTGCAAAGTCCAACTTTGCTGGAGTCTTGGTGAGCTCTGCAGAGCAAGCTGAATTGGGTCGATGTGGATTCAGTATTTCAAACTATCAGAAAGGTTCCCCTGCGATTTAGTGAGCGTCATGCTGAATATGATAGATGCTGCTCTAGGTTTGTCTGGACTTTGAGCTGCAAGCTATTGCTTCTTCCCAGGTGATGGACTTAATGGGTGGATCCGATGATCCTGAAGGTCCTTTCAACATGAGCAATTCTGTGATGGTGGGCAATTCACTGCACATCCTCTCAAAGAGCAGCAGTAATACCTCCTTGGCCTATTTTTGTTGTCCAGACCATAAGTAGGGTCTTTTTAAAGCACACATGGGTGTCCTGGTCGCAGCCTCACCATGAACACAGCAGGGCAATTGGTGTAATTAATGGCGTCTCCTCGGTGGACTGCCTGGCTATTGGCAGAGCATCTCCCAGCTCCAGGCGGGCGAGTGGTCTCGGGAGGCTTGTGCCATCCTCTTATGCTGGGCTTAACGACACTGAAGCATATTAATACTTCTTTCAGTGTCATTTCATGCTCTTCCCTGCCCTGCCTCAGAGCCCCCACTGTTCTGGTTGCATCTGATCCATACTTGTCCTCCAGTGCACGATTAGCAGATTAGCCGCTGTGCCCAGACCAGCAAAAAAATCAACTCCCAGAAGCCCTTCAAAACAGAGAATAATTCATTATCCACCTTGATTTCCACTTAAAATGTACTTTAACTACACTTCCAACTACAAACCCTAAATCACCCTCATGTTCACAAAAAATCCATCATTTTTTATTTTATTGCACGGCACTGGCATGACATAATCCCTTGCAGAGCGTCTCAGAGTGCTTTACGGATCAATAAATTACTTACCTGCACAGCAGAGGCAATGCGTGCAAGGCCATTGCAGTCATTCCGGCTCGGCGCAGCCCTGGGGAGGCTCTGGGAGGTGCGGAGAGGCAGGGGAGGAGCACTCAGGAGCTCAGGAACCGGGGCCCTGCAGCGCTCTGGGCAGCGGCGTCCAGCGGGTGGGCGCAGGGGGCTCGCCCAGGGAGGGTGGAAGGAGCAGGGTGCTCTGCAAGTGGTGGGTGACTCTCCTGCAAAGCGCCGCAGCGGGGTGCCAGGCTGCTGCTCAGCTCCTGAGAACGGCCTGGAAAAAATAAACTGAGGAAGGTGATGGGCTTTATGATGTTCTGCAGGTGCAGGCTGGGAACAGCAGCCTGGTTCTTTCTCTCAGAGCCTGTAGCAGGGCCAGCCCTCCCCAGCAGGGGCTGAGTGCTCCCCTCTTGCTCCTCACCCCTTCTCAGCCCCCTTCTCGTCACCCCCAATCCTGCGTGTCTGTCCTCTCCTTGGGGCTGGGCCCCTTCTCTCTGTCCTGCTCTGGCATGTTCACAGCAGCAGTGCCATTGCAGTGGGATGACTTTCAGCCTGATGGAATTGCACGGTGGCAGAACTTAGAGGCTCCTCAGTAGACTTGTCATCTTCATGCCCAGATCCTCTTGATGCTTTTCTTGTTGCAAGGGCATGTCACAGAATCTGTACGGCTGGAAAGAGCTGCAAGCCATGAACAGGCTGGACAGGGTGCTGGGCCAGCTTATCTAGAATGTACTTTTGCCAAGAAAAGTTGGACCAGATGGTCTTTGAGGTCACTTCCAACCTGGTATTCTATGATTCTCTGTGCATGCTTTGGGTGCACTAGTTGCACCAGGAGTGACTGCTGCTTTGGTGGGAGTTTGGAGAGGGTGGGTGGTGTTTTCTCAGTAGGATGCAGCTCTGCTGAGAAGGATTCATTGTGGCTGTGAGGACAGGATGAGTACTGGAAGCAGGGCAGGGAAGAATTACTGTCTCACACGCTGCTGAGGAGGAGGTGTCTTTAGCCTCCCTAAAATGACTGAATCCCCTTGGGGTACAGTTTCTTCCCATGTCAACTCTGTCTTGTCTGCCCCCTCTTTCTCCTGTGTGTTCCCATCAAATCAGATGAGACCGATGGGTTACTGCATAGCTTGTTGAGGTGGAGGGAGGAAGGAAGGAAATTCAGCCTCCTTCACCCCCATTTGGAGACCTGAGTTGTAGCAGAACAAGTTGCATTTTCATTTCCCTCTTTGTGTCATTGCAGTATCTCCAAAAATCATCGAGATCTCTTCTGACATCTCCATCAACGAGGGCGGCAATGTCAGCCTCACCTGCATAGCCACGGGCAGGCCAGATCCAACAATCACCTGGAGACACATCTCGCCCAAAGGTAAGAGCCAAACCTTACCAGAAATATTCTGGGAAGAGCCCAGCACCATTTGCAGTCTGGGGACGTGTCGTTGACTAGTTCCTGTGGCATTTCAGTTGTAAAGAGAAGGTGATGTTCCCCAAAAAGATGTGACTTAATGCAGGAGGTGTTGGCTGTGGTGGGGAAAGACCCATCTTGGTGGTCTCGGAGAGGTACTTATGGTTTTGCTCACGTGGAGGACTGGTAGCAGGTGCCATGCTGGGCTTGTTGTGTGTAGGGATTGAATGTGCTTGTCCAGCCCTATTTTGAAAAGTTCTCGGGGAATTCTCACACGTTGCTTCAAAGGAGAACTATAAATAGTACAAATGAGCAGGAAAACCCATGAACCATTAATGGGTGGCCCTGTTAATTGGTAAGCAAAACCTGAACAGAGCTGTGTGGGTGTGACTGCTGGGAAACAAGTTCCTGTACGTGCCCATACAGGAGCATGTTATTTCCAAACTGTTTCCTCACTGCTTTTAGGCATTTGCTTTTTGTTTTGCTGTCCTGTTATTCCCTGGTGGCTTCAAGGTTCTTGCTGGAGAGCTGGGGGTGAGATTTGTGAGCTTTAGGTGGGATGAGCCTTCTGGCCAAGGGGCAGTGCCTGGCTCTTATCCTCTAATCCCATCTAAATGCTTCATTTCAATGTCAGTCATTGTGCCACACAGGTTTTACCAACGTGGGCTGTTGTCCCAGACAACAGGTCCTCCTCAGGGACACCCCAGCCAGGCAGCCCAGCAGCCAAAGGAGATGACACAGGGGCGGCAGTGATGGATGTTGCCATGTCTGCTCTCTGCATTCAACTGCCTGATGATGGTTGTGGTGTCTTGGTACAGCTCCATTGGTTGGGGGTTTTTTTTTGCTATTTGTCTGTGCTGGGCCAGATCCATCACTCTCCATAGCCCAGGCAGAGAGTGAACCAAGTCGACAGCATCTCACCCCATTCCCTTGAAGGGAACCTCTATAAAAACCATCACCCCCGGGTGCATGTGTTGGCTTATCCACCTTAGATGGTCATGCCTCTGAGACAATGGCCTTCAGTTGGAGTCCAGGCGTGGATGAATGTTGAGACACAGGGTGCAGATCTGGGTGCTCCTCTCCAGCCCTGAGTGTCTATCCATGGCATCCAAGTTGCCATCACTGTATCTCTCATAATCAGGTGGCATTTATGGTTGAGGCTGTCCATGTGCTCCCACCTTGAAACTTTTTGTCTCTTTCCTCTTCCCCTTCTCTGCCCTGCCAACGTGATTTTGTCTCAGCCTCCTCACCGACAGTTTTTCACATGCCTCTTGTTTTCCCCACATCCTCTCCTGCTCCCCCAGGCCCCTTCTCTGACAATCCCACGCTCCTCACCACCTTCTGAACGCAATCCATCCTCTCTAACCAGGCTCCCGGCATACGCCGATGCCTCTGCCTTTTGTGAGGGCTATTTTCTGTGTTTGCTGCCATCCAGCAGGTTTCTTTCCCCAGGGAATCTTTACCTATGCTTGAACCAGATGTTTCCATTTTACTTAGGACTTAGCTGCTATGGAAACTGAGGATGCACCAGGAGAGGAAGAGTGAGCTAATCAGAAATTACCTGTGGCGCTGTGTAATTTGCAGCAGCAGCTCTTACCTGATTTTGGCCATGATTAGGCATTCTGCTTTCAAAATGCAACGGGAACAAATGATCACAGAGATTTACTCGAGCCTGGCCTCCCACTGATGGAGGGTGCTGAGCCCAGAGGTGGCCCGAGACAACTTCAGCAGCCGCCCATCTCCACAGGCAGCTCCTCTGTGGCTCTCTCTGGGTCTGCCAGGCCACCAAGGGGGACCTCTGCTTCATTGTGCATTCAGCACACATAGGACAGATGAAGATGGGAAGCGTGGGGACTGAAATAAGAGCCAGGGCAGGTGCACAGAGGTGCTGTAGCAGATGCCGAGATGATAACCCTTTCCCTAGTAGGAGATACTCCAATTTGGAGAGCCAGGAGCGAGCAGGGACCCAAAGGTAGCAGCCAGCCCCTCTCGGCTGTAGGTCTGCCTCACTGCTCATCCCCAGGGAAGTCTGGAGCGAGCTGCCTCCTGTTCCTTCCCAATGTCTTTCTCCGTCTCGCTTGGAGTGGTGGAGAAAAGGGACCGGGGAGAATTGGTGGAGGGAAAGCTGGTGCATAATTGAAGGGTTTACATAGCGGATGGGTAGGCAGCTCTCAGTGGAGTCACTGGGGAGAGGCTTTGACAGCAGTGGCTGTGCCAGGCACGGACAGAGCGGGGGCTGGAGGAGCCTGTCCCCACGCCTGCACCGGTGAGCACTCCCCTGTGCTAAGGCACTTCACGGGCCTTATTATTTTCTTGGCAGCTGTAAGCCTGCTGTGTGGCTCTTGGTGGGAAATGGAGCAAATAAGAGTGTTTGCTTACCAGGGAGAGCATGTGGTGGGGTCCTTCAGGGGGTTTACACTGAGAGCAACCCAGTTCCCCGGTGACTGATCTCACTCGAGACCCTTTTCCAGCCCTCCCAGTCCCCTTGGCCACTTGGCTGCTTTCTCACCTGTGCATCATTCCGTTCTGGTGTAATATCTATTTAGCTGCTTGGCCTGGTAAGCCTCACTGAATTTTTGTGTCTGCAGTCGTTGCCACATAATGGGAACTGTTAAGCCTTTTTCTGAGGCTCCGTTTGGTTTGGGGCTGACAGAGTTCCCCACAGGCAGGAGAAGAATATTTTTGCTGTGTAACTCAAAGTTTGAGTGAACCTGAGCAAGAGTTTTCTGGTAGGGAATCACATGAATGCTGGCCCTACCTGTGCCCATCTTCACCCTCCTCCTGCTGGGAGTAAAAGCACGATGCCAGCTCTGGAGAAGGGTTTTGTGAACTTGTTGGAAATCCAACTTGAGATGTGCTATAGCCTGTGTCCTGTCCTACTGCCTCACCCCTCTCTGTCCTTTTTATTTCTGCTCCCAGTAATGTTGTACTAACCCATGGCAACTCCTGTTAATGCAGCTGAACAGGTTGAGGTGGAACAAGAAATGGAGTTGATGTAATCACAGCTTCTTCTGCCTCTATGCTTTGGGGCTCTGCCCTGGGCTCGGATGCTCTAGCTGGCAGCACAACTGCCACTGGATCTGCCAGGCACCAGGGCTTCAAAACACAGCTTACTGAAACCAGACTGGGAAGCCAAGCTCTGGCACACTGTGGGGCAGCTCCATGCCCCCTTAGCCTCCCTGCCGTGCCAGAACCATTACGACATCAGTCAAGAGAGGCCTCCTCAACAGTGAGAAGGGAGGGAGGGGGGCAGAGAGGGAGAGAAGGATGGAAATAACCATGGTCTGGATGTAACATCCAGCGTGGAGGCAGCAGCATCTTTCCAGAGGAGATGGAGGTTGTGCAGGGGACTTGGACCCTGGGGTCTGTGAGGCAGTGTTAGGTGTGCCCACACACAGCAGTGTTTGCACCCATGGGCTTGGAGCTTCTCGTTGTTTCCAAGACTTCAGGTGTATTACAGTCCCCAGCCTCATGGTGCTGATGCCATCTGTAAACTGCAGAGAGGTCTTCTCATTAATGTCTGCTTTTGGTCACTCAGATGTTTCCATAGTTACTGGGCTTTTTATTTATTTTGGGGGGTAACTCTGATGTTGTCATGGCAATTGCCACACTGTCAAGGCTGGTCTTCATCTCTCAGTGGATGAAGGCTGGGATTTCTTTGCTGGGAAAAAGTGAAATGTCCTGAGGTGCTGGGCTCAGGGCGAGGCCAAAGTGCTAGCAGGGTGAACGGCACCACGTTGAGCTAACTGGGGGATGTTTATCCTGCTGCAGACACAAGACTCATCGTGCCTCCTGTTAAGGTCAGGACATGTGCTGAGGAATGGAAAAGAGGGCTTTCCTGGGAGGGCTGAGGGCTCAGCAGCTTCTGTCACAGGAGGAGCAGGCATGGCTTAGTGGTAATAACAAGGGTGTCCTGGTTTGGGCTCTGTGGTTGAGTGCAGTGACCCTGCCGTGACAGGTCCAGGGACACAAGGAAAGGATGTAAGAAGTAGGTATGTGCATGCAGATACCCCCACTGGCTCATCTGCCTTGGCCAGCACTAGTCTGCCACATGCAGATGTCCTCAGCCAGCAGCTGTATCCAAGTCGTCATCCTTAACGACCCTTGATGGACTTTTCTGCCATGGTTTTGTCTAATTGCTTTTCGATGATTGCTGTAGTGTGATGGATTCTGGTGTGAGGCTTAAGACAGTGGCTGCCAGGGTAAGTAAACATTATGGCTTGGCTTGATGGTGTATTTACTCATAAAAGGTCCAATCGAGAGGGTTTTATAGTGGGAATCTTCCGTTAATCTCAGGATTAGGCTGGGTGCTGAAAGCTAGATCCTGTGCAGAGCCCGAGTCCCAAGCCGACTCTGAGCTGCGATTTGTGGGGCAGGTGCCACCTCAGTGCCTCCCGGAGCAGAGAGGTGTGAGACAGGGGAGATGCTCAGAGGATCCCCACGTCGCCACGTCCCGCATATCCTCTGTGATCAGTCCTTTTAACCTCCACGGCCTCCCTGGAAGAGGTACAATAGCAATCCCTTGTCTCACAGGGCCGACGGGAGGATAAATGCATTCAGGACGTGAGGCACTCAGACGTGGTGGTAATCACAGCTCGTATATGCACTTAAGATAGATGAGACACGGTGGCCTAATGTGGCAGAGGTCTCATGAGATCATCTGTCTATACATCAGCAGCAAACCAGCGAAGGGACTCTGGGAGAAGTCTGGTATATTTGGATGTATTGATTCTCTCTGGCTCTTGGCGGAGCTTAGAACAAGAGGACAAGCAAACTGCAAAAAAAATCCAGCTTGAAGAGTTGCTTGTCCCTGGGAAGGGGACATGTTCCCTTCTCAGAGGTTTGCCCATTAAGCACATCGCTTGCTGTCTTCATCTTCCCAGGATCCTCTCTGGACAGGAGGCAGGGGATGTTTGTAGGTCAGACATTGTATTTTGAGCCTGGCCAGGAGACACAGAGAGAAG